TTTTTTCTACGGATCGCATATATGTTTCAAATTATTTATCTTATGAAATTTCGACGTTTAACAAATTAATTTTTCCTGGATACGAATGAAACGTAAATACGTCAATCGATATTCCGGAAATGTTGTGAAATCATAATAACAGCTAAATTTATAAGAGAAGGGCTGTGGACTTCGTCATTCAGCTTCAGGTCAAATGCCGTAGTAAAGCCTTCCGAGAATTGTCTGACCCGAGGCTAGAGGACAATGCGTTGTACAGCAAGGGAAAATCAATGGTGGTCAGAAATAATCAAAATATGGTCATTTGCCAACGACCAGGCGGATTGTTTATTTCCAGTCTGTTCATTCATGCAATTTCTAAAGGTCTAGATTTCCTGGAAAAGTGTATTAAAGTCAAGTACAAAACATTTTTAGATTATACCGAATTTTACAAGTTTTCTCCCTGTTTTGGAGTAAATCCTTATAATAAATTCGTTCAAATAACAATAAATAGAAATTTGTATTCGTATTCGATTTAGCGATATGATATGTAAATGAATATAAGGGTTGAATTCACTTTATACACCTCGCGATTTCTATTTTTTTTTTTTTGAAAACAAAGTTGAATTCTCCAGTTTCTTTTTCATAGAGAGGAAAAATTTTCTAGTTGTCAAAACAAAGCCATAAAATTTAAAAACTCATGATTATACCATGCATTGTCCCTAGAATAAGAAAATGCTTGCTCAATTTCAGGAGAAAGTTCTTTCGAGTAGCAAAACCCATCTTATTTCAAGTGAACTGAACCTCTCAAAATTAGAAGCGATGGACTAATGAATTAAAAACCGTTGATTCCTTAAACTAACAATAAGAATATTCTAAAGTAATCAAATTTAAGATCTATTGAATATGAATGTAACATTCATTGAGACAAGCTCGTAGGTGACACGCCTTTAATAAGGAGGGAATTATGAATTGCATTTAGATAGCATTTTAAATTTCAGTGGAAGTATTCTAAACGATACTTGAGGCACCATGAGTAGATTAATTTTAAGGTAGGAAAAGGCTCACTACCCAGAACAAGAACAAGAATGTTCTTAATTCGGCAACCCGGTTCTTATTTTAAAACCCCAAAGGTTCTGAATTCAAAAACCCCGATTTCTTCAAAATAAGAAATTTCCACAGAGAAAAAAGTTTCCGGTTTCCAGTAATAGTCTCTGAATCCCAGTAGAATTTCTCTGAGAATCAGAGAAAAAGATCTTGTTCTCAGTAAGTTTACTGAAATCCAGTACCCATGTATTGAATCAAGGTTTTTCGGTACTGGACTCACGATTCCTAATGCTTAAAATAAGAACCGTTGGGTATTGAGATTAAGAGCCCTGGGATTCTTAAAATAAATACCTTGGGGTTCTTAAATTGACATAGTTGTCTCCTCAAATTATCTTCGTTAATTACGGTGTGACATCACAACTAGGGAACACCCACCCCCTCCATCACAAATCGTCATAAATTACGAAACCCCGAATGTCACAAATTACGAATGTCCTCAACCGTTCTTATTATAAAAACCTCGGGTTTTATTTCAGCACCCAATGGTTCTCGACTCCAGTACATTGTTAAAAATGTTCCACTGAAATTACCGACAAGTCTTGGGAATTTCTAACGAGCAACATTACCACTGAAATTTCAAGGAATTTTGTCATTGAAAATTCATAATTTCACAGGGAGAGAAATGGCCAGTAAAAATTACGGACCTCACAATTCGCTCCTCGATTACGGAATCGACTCAGAAAATTTAAGTGACGGTATCGTAATTTTTCACAGGAGATCCAGATAAAAATTACGGAACGCTCTGGAAAAATTCTGTGACAAGTTCCGTAAAATTTACGGAAAAGATACGTAATTTTTATTGAATATTTCTCACCGTGCATGGAAAAATCCGTAGGAATGTAGGAACTGTGAATTTCAGTTCAATGTGTAATGATACTACCGTTTATACCTTCGCGCCATCGATAATTTCCAAAAATATCCAAGTAAGGCGCTAGAATAAGGCAGACTGGTGTCTTGCCGATGATGACCAGCCCGGCAACTCTCTCGCTACTCGGACGTTGACGAATACGGATCGTATAATTTCATTGACAGTCGTTCGAGTAGTCTGAGCAATGTGGATTTGTCGATTGTCGTATATTTATAAATATTAATCAGTGTGCCCACAATGTTCTCCTCATTTCCTAATTATTTGTAGTGAGTTTGAAACCTGCTGATTATCATTCTCTATGGATTAACGAGTGCAGTTAATTTTAGGTAAGAGATGTATATTTTTATTTATATCAGATCAGTGCGGTAACATAAACTCATATGTAAAGAATGAAAATATTCTCTCAATCAAGCGGTAAATTTTGATCCCAATTATTAAATATAAACATTTACTAAACAAGAGATTTATTTGATATTTTCTCATCATAAAAATTATAACAGACTATTGCTTAACAAATTTTTCCTTAGAGATTAATGAAAAATCAGGAGAATTCGTAGAAATCTCTCCTTCGATGCCCGATTCCTCTGACATTCCAGGAAGTTTCTTTAAAAATTTGTCGAATTCCAATGATTTTAAAGGAATTCCTTGAAAATTTAAGGGAATTCGCTACTAAATATTCATTTTCATTAGAAAATTCATGTAAATTCCATTGAATTTTTCCCCTTAAATCGCATTCAAGGTCTTTTTCCGTAAAACTGAGCCAATTTTGGTGAACAGTGCATGTACCGTGGTACTGCAAACCCTAAACCTTTTTTCTCTCCGTCAATTAAAGAAAAATTATATTACATTCAAGTAAAAATGACTGAGAACCAGAATCAGAACTTTTTGCCTGATTTGTTGAGTGAATCACCTCGCAATGAGTGAAAATTTTATATATTCCCCGGATATTCACTCCCCGGATTTCGAAAATTGCGAAACTTTCTCTCTGTGAGTGCGTTCTCAAAGTCGCCTCTAATAAATCTCGCCAATATAATCTCGCTAATACCCCCCCATTCCCCCCAGGAACATAAAAATATTCGCAATCATATCAAGTCCGGCGTATTATCTCTCTCTTCGCAATTATCCTGCCCGAAGCCGTTGTACTCCCCCAGCCTATAAGGGGGTTTATTATAATGAAACCCCCATATCCCCAGCAGTATAAACCTCAAGGCTCCACATCCATGCACACACTCACCCGAGCGATGAACGAATAAACATTTTCGTCTCATTTTTTGCCGCCTCCCTCCCCACCTATTCCTCTCAACCACGTGCATTAAAATGAAGCATCACGTTTGTAAATCATAAAATTCGCAGTTTCACACGCTCACACGGCTTCTAAACTCACCAGCAATCCCCTTTCTTTCGACAATAACCGAAAGAGGTGGCCCATTGCACACAAACACTAGCACCATAATTACATGCAATTTGTGCTACTGGCATTGCCCCCACCAATGGCCATCTTGCGCCCCCCCGATACACGTACGGGGGACGAATGAACATAAAACTCTTTGCTTGGCAATCATCGATATGTGTGAGAGATAAGTGAGAAACGGAAGGATGCAAAGTGAAAAACCACTCGGGGAGGAGTACAGAGGAAATTTATTTTAAAAAATTCAAATGGGAAAATAATAGCATCCATGGTGTAAAACACCTCACCATGGCTTTCTTATTATTACACTGGAATCAAATAACCGTTGGGGTGTTAACTGCACCCTCTCTCCCGTCTCTCAGAAGCATGCCCACAGCCGAGATGCAATGGAAGACTCTTTTTTTCATCTCACTCTTATTTTATTCCTCGTCCTCGTGCGTTTACCGCACTGGCGAAGGCATCGCGCACCTATCTACTTGCGATATACCCAAACGTTTTGAAGAAGCGTATACACAATGTACTCAAGACGCGGTGGCGCAAACGTCCAAGGCAACCACTCATTATTCGTGGGAACGATTTTCATGGATAATCGACCGCGAGAGGCTCCGCGTATCGATTCTCTAACTCGTCGGCCAATACAATGAGTCGAAAAGGTGTTACCAGGCGATTTTATATTTTGTTAAGGAGTTGCTAACGACGAGGTTTCGTTCGCACGGGGGTTTGTTACTAGTACCAGTGCGGTTAAGCGTGCATTCGACCTTGAATTTATTCCTTCTGTTTTATTGACGATACGGCACGCGGGGGAGGGTGGTTCGCATTTCAATGCAGAGATTCAATGTAAATGACTGAAAAATCAATGAAATTTATTTGCACCTCTGCTCTGTTAATTATGTACACGTGGAATAATCGAGAATTCATTCATCCTTGAAATTTTTTTCATTCTCCACATCAATGCAAAGAAGAATTCCAATAAAACCCGGCTTTTATGACTTATGTTTATTTCAAGTATTGATAACGATGATTATTAATTTTTCCATTTAAAAAAATCTAATGAAGGAGAATTATTCACTCACTTTACCACTTTGAATACAAATACATTTTTTTTCCCTCTGTGATAAGAAAACAGAATTCATGCACTGGTTTTATCATTATAAATTGCGACGTTCATCGTTTTTATCTTCGTGGGAATTGAGCAGAAGCAGGAAATCCAGAATTTAATGAAATTCTCGGTATTTATTCGTTCAATCCTCAGTAAACAGAACCCAATAAATCGCAAATGTAAATAAATTAGCCTGAACTCATGCAAATCCCTCAGGGGGGGAAAACCCGGATTCTTTGGGTCTCGAGTAAATCGAGGGTTATAACCCGGGTACTCTGGGGTCGACGAAAAATTTCCATGCGAGAGTTGGGATACCCGTGGGGTCGTTATCCGATAGGGCGGAAGCCGGCTGATGTTGGCCTTCCACTGGGCAAAGAATAAAAGGCGTGGTTATGCGCCAGTGTTGCCACCTCCCAACCCCGTCGGCGCACAATAAATCCCGCCTCCTTTTATTCAGAACCCTGGGATTGGAAATTGCGTGGTGGGGGTAGAGAGGCTCGATGCTGAGATGTTCCGTCGCCTCAGATCGCAAGGGGACGCGAGTGTGCGCGCGTCGAGACACTGAATGTATCGTGTTTTGTCCGTATTGTCGTTTACGAATATCTCTCGTGTGTCCAATTGTCCTGACGGTTGATTCATTGAATAACGTCATTCGATGATTTATTGTTTCCATTGATTATCTCGTCGTTGTCGTGCGTAAACACTTTGTGCCTAAATAGTCAGTGTGTTTGTTGTTATTACCGCCACTTGCGTGGTAACAGTGCAGACACTAGAGTGCCGGTAGCGAGGTGTAGACATGTACCTCGTGGATTTTGGAATTTAAAACTTGTGCTGGGTACATCCAACGTTTTTTTTTTATTATTATTGTTTTGTGAGTGAAATTGGAATTAACTGGAGTGATTGGTGTTCAGCGAAAGCCCAATGTTCACACAGTTTTTGTCGATTGCGCATTGATATCACTGATATTGCTCGCCTATTCCGGTTCATTTGTCACCACGGGTCGATAAAACGCTATTGGAAGGCGTCGATCTGCGGTACGGAGTGCTCTGGAATAGTGTGGGGCTGTACCAACGGTGATAAACTGTTGTCAATTTTGACGTGAATTAACCGCTCCGGGGCGGAAACAATCAGTCAAAATTCGGGTTAAGAACAGAGAACCGTTGCCATCCTACGCGATGGAGATAAGCGACGAGTATCAGGACATGGGGAATCCCGGTGGCGGGGTGGCTATGGCTAATATGCCCCTTGGACATCATCGACACACGCCTGATAGCCCGATGGTGAGTTATTTGGATATTTTCATTTTTTTTTTTCGCACTGTTGGGTGAATGATATACTTTTTGGAGCAATGTCGAGGGGTTTATTTTTGTGAGGCTATTTCGAGAGCATTTGTTTGCTCTGTTATTGTGATGTTGGGTGGCATTGGAGGGACAGTGGTTTTCATCAGTGAGTCAGGGCTTGAGTCACGATACACTTTGATTACATGGGATTTCAATTCCGGGAGTTGCCGATAGTGTTTATGGTTGTTTCAAAAGTGTTTGTGGTGTCAATATATTCGATAATGTCGGGGCTTGTCTCGAGTATTTTTTATATTTTATTTCATGCCATTTCATTAGTTTGAAGTGATTTGTAGGGATTTATCTGGAATATTTTATCGTCAAATTACGTAATTCTCAAGGTGCAGATGGAAATGCCTGTATGTGTTTGCACATCAATATCCAGAGTATTTTTTTCTGTTGTCATGGAATTCCGTGAATTTTTATCGCAGGTGTTTGTCAATAAAAGAGAAATAAAAATTGAATTCAAAGCGTGGAGAATAATTTTATTCCTTGTTGAGTCATTTCTCAATAAAAAAAGTTTATTGCAGTATATTTATCACGAAATCCTTGCGTAACAATAGAATTCACGTTCTATTCATTGCAGAGATATTCAGTTCGTTAGAATTCGAAGGATAAAAATTGTGAATCATTTTTCGTAATTCTCTCGCTAAAACACTCCAGAAATATCCAGAAGTAATTTGTTAAATCGGAATAATAGATTTAATACGGGTGTCGATCGATCGTGAATGCGGTACATGCGCCGAGTGCATCGCGTATGCACAGGCATTTCTCCACGATTGGCTATCGACGAATAGGATTGGCCAGCATCAATTCCCCCCCCCCCCTCCGTGACTTGTTTTTGGTGCGCATCCGTAAAGGCGGGGATTCCCCCCGTTCGTCGAATCCCCTCGACTCAATCGGTAAAACACACATTTGCAAGGAGTGCGGTAATGAATGAAATAAAAAAACTCCCTTCGAATGAGAGAACAGTGGGTGAGCTCTCTCTTGTACACGCGTATATTCATCCCATCCATTAAAAAATGCCCTCGGATAGACGCCATGTCATGACGTCATGTCTCGTTACACCTCACTCGATGCCGCTGGAGTTGTCTCTCATCTACGACAACACTGTATCCCAGCGCGTCTCTACTCGATCACGAGACTCTCGTTTTAGCGCTCACGCACGCGTGTTCAACGTCTTGACAAACCTCTTCCTGGGTGGGAGGGGGTGAGTTACACGCCATGACAACACTATTCACTTCAAATGTCGACCAAGCGCCTTTTTCACATTAATTTTCAGCAGTTCCTCCAGCTCTCCATTCGTATTTCACTTTCTTACGTTGGTATGGGCCTCAAATATTTCGTGAACACAGGAAAAGAATAATTAATTGGGTTTATTACTGTGCGAACTGTCATTTGATAGAAAATACTCTGCGTGGAGGGAATTTTATGCTTTGATAAATAAAAAAAACTGGGAACAAAAACTTTCTCTGCAGGCTTTAAAATTTACCCTATGAGTTTTGTAATTTTTTTACAATGCCTGATGAATAATTATTCAACTTTTATTCTCGGTATTTATTCCTTAATATTGACGCGAAAATTTTTTGCCTTGTAGAGTGCAAAATATGCCCCCTCCGGTCGGGAATTTGAAAGCGCATCACCGATAGAAAATTTAACGAATAAAACTATTTATTAAAGTTTAACCTCAATTGAATCTTCAGCAGAAAATTTTCTTCTCATTGAATAATCCAGAAATCATCCTATTTTGCGTAAAAACATGAATGCAAATTTAATGTCAATTAGTGGTTGTTCCCAGTTTTTTTACTTGAAATTCTAGGAGTAACTCTTTGAGTTCAAGAAAAAAATCGATCACTGTTAATTATTGATGAAATTATACATAAACAATATCAAAACAAATCACATAACAGTCAGTAAATTTTTGGAGCAAGCAAAGAAAATTGATCACACCTTTTGCATTTTTTCTTGATATACAGAGTAAAAAAATCCAGAGCGAAATTTCACTTCGATCACTTGACGAGTTTTTCAATAATTTTTCTCCATCTTTTCTCCCTATGCATCGCCTCCAGTTTTTTTTCCCGCAGACGAGTGGAGAAAGAGACCTTTTTCTAAGTGGAAGGAAGCGCGGAGGGGAGAAATACTATTCCGAGCGTTTTACGATAGCCCTATAAAAATTCTCATAATTAGATTTTGGAGGTAATTTCGCCCCGGTTATGGAGGGGACCGAGTCTGGAAGGATGGTCTCTGTTGGGGAATATAAAAGGGCCCTCTGCTCCACCTCAAAATTGCAGACTACATTATATTGCTCTGGCTCTGGTGAATTCTGGATTCTGACCTTGGGATAGTTGGTTTATTAAGGTTGCTCGGGGATTTCGGAAATTATGGTAATTATTCATTTTTTAAATTGAGATATTATTAAAATTAACATTCCGATTCATATTTAATTATCTACATTATAATGCAATTTATTTTTTAATGCATTTGAAATATGTTATTACAAAATTACAAACATGACGAGCGAAATTGCAATTTTCCCAATGCACTCGAGTTCACTACTGATTGAGAGGGGAATCGATAATTCAAAATTGGATAATAAATCTGTAATTTCTTGGGAATTATTTCGAGTAATATTTCAAAGAGGTTTGGGTAATACGTGGATTTAATATCCGTTGGAAATTTTCATTTCGCTGAGTGCGTGAGGGATTCAATGCATCGGTGTAATTACTCGAAATTATCGTAATACGGTAATACGGTTAGATGTGTACAACGCTCTCGCATATGATATGACTGACGGTCATTAAATTCCTGTCTCTTGGATAATTACGGTTGGAACCGTGACGATACTGCGTATACCCTCTTCTGTTTCCGTGCTTTTTTTTCTCTCTTTTTTTGCAATTTTTTAGAGATCGATAAGAGATGCATGACGAGGACATGCGGAAAGGTGGGACGGGACAGGCGTATATGTGAATTCAACACTGGGTTGGCTATTTGCGTGCGCGAAATTGACGCACTGTGCAAGCCTCAAGTTCTTGTCACGTCAGGTGTCAATGTCCAAACAAGAGCGGTATTTCACTCATATTTTGTCAACAAACTATTTTCCCACTGTCTATTTCAATTTATTCTCTTGAGTTATTGTTGAGATGTTTTTTAAAATCATTGTTTCGTCAATTGATGTATATTAAAATATTGATTGAACTAAACACAGAGAAAAAAAAATTTTTGTTTTTGCATGAAACTGTTAAAGTTTAGAATTTTTCAATTCTGAATTGTTCATAACAATTGTTCACCGATTTTGACTAATGACAGATTAATCCACAAAAACTGCAACGTTATTTCTCTGCGTTAATATTAGGATTCAACGAATGAATAGTTTAGTCAACAAACTATTTTTCTATTGCCTATTTCAATTTGTTCTCTTGATTAATTGTTGACATTTTTTAAAGATCATTTCTTCGTCAATGAAGTTCTATAAAAATATTGATTGAAATAACCATAGAGAGAAATATTTTTGTTTTTGGAAATTTATTATTAAATTTGAGGAATTCAATCGCTAAAATTTTGTCATAAAATTCTTAGGATTCTGAATTTTTCAATTCTGAATTGTTCGTAAGGATTGTTCATCAATTTCGACTGCCGCAACTCCCTAAAAATGACAGATTAATCCACAAAGACTAAAAACTCTTTTTCCCTGCGATAATATTGTGATTCAACGAATGAAATACGCAATCATTCGTGATTGGTTCCCTGCAAGGGGTAGTAAAACCCCAATAAAAAATGATGGAGGTTGATACCAAGTTGCGCACGACTCTCGATCCGCGGACGCACAGTGGGGGATCACGGTGTAATGTTGGCGCAATCGTAGTGGGGGACCGAATGAGAACCAAACACCGGGATTGGCTCCTGCGACACCAAACCATCCCGCCCACTTTTATTCCGCGCTCGCGGTCCGCAGTCTCCATGGTTATAAGTCATAAAAAAAATACCGCATTGATGTTCACTCATCGATGTGCCGAATCATCAAGAAATCCATCAAGAGATACAGACTTTCACACCGTCGGTATTCAGCATTTGATAATGGATGTAAAAAATGTCACCAGTGGACATTTCGGTCAATTGGCCTGGGTCTAAACCATCTTTAGATCCACGGAGAGCAATATTCAATAAAAATTACGTATCTGTTCTGTAATTCCGGAGCGAAATGTGGTTGTAGGAAATTTTACGGAACTGTCACGGAATTTTTCCAGAGCGTTCCGTAACGTCATTTTTATGTGTTGAAACGTACATTTTACGCGACACTATAAAAATTCGCGCGGTGAACAGTGATTTCCACGAATCTGTACAGTTCACTGAGAGAAATATCGACATAATATCACAAAACTAATTTCTTGCATCAAATATCTCGTCTCTTAATGATAAACCGCTTGGGATAAGAATTTCACATGAGTCAGACCGCGTAAGAATCCGCATACAGTATAATGTTCATGACTTGAATACGAACACTTGACGATAAAATGACCATTTCTTGCCTCAAGAACCCGTTTATTTCGCGTGAAAAAAAAAGAAAATTACTAAAAATATTAAAAGCCTTGATTCAGTGAATTATGGATCGGAGACTTTCATGTTGAATGAATACAGAATTTATACGGGGAAGAACCTCCAGATATTTCTAACATATCGTCGCATTAAAATTGAGGGGGCGCAAGTGCTGTGTATAAGCATACCTTTTACGCCCCTCTGATTCTAATGCGACGATATAATCGTCACATGCTGTCAGTCGCAATCAGTTTGAAGGAAAGCAGTAGCATCTTTTCCTTCTCTCAAACTTATTTTGTCACTTCAGGAATACGAGATTGAATGCGCGCTCCGCGCGCATTTCCACACGATAGATCGATTGGACGATTCGTCGTGCTCATTGCCAATATAATACAATTCTTCATTCTCAT